AAGTAAAACTCTTGGCAAGAGCTTTGGACAGCCCACTCACTGTTTCAAGCATACTGCTGATGTATTGTTGAGATGACTGGCCAAAATTAACTTCAAAATACTTTTGGTAGTACGACTGKTTTTTTTACGTATTTTCAGATGTGCTATATGTGATTCATCATAAATAAATGTAAATGCTTAAGTAATATTCCTGTGCTGTTTAAGAAGTAAATTAGATTTCCAGAATAAAATAAAATTAATGCAGGAGGGTATATCCCTCAATGGGAAAGTGTGAAAACTTTTACTAGGACCTCAACATCAACCCTCAGAACTGCAGTAAAGAGACTGCAACAAAGTTCAGACACTTGACAACTACAAGTAACTTTTAGGAGGGCCCTACACGGAAGAAGAGAATCATGTTCAGCCTTCAGGTGGAACTTTTTAAGCCACTGAAAACTGCTAAGCATCATTCAGAGCATATGTCAACACTATGAGTACACACTAGTGTGGTAACCTTTAGTTCTGAATTACACAATAGTGAGCTGGTCAAAAGCAGCCCTCTGTCCCTGCCTGGCAAATAAACATTTCATACTTACAGCCTGTCTRGCTTGGATACTGGCTGTTCCATCACAGACAATCTTCTTCAGAACTGGACCAAGGGTCTTAAAAATCTCCTCACTTTCAATTCCTGAGCCCATCTGCACACACAGAAGACACGCCAGTCCAGCAGCTGCACACTGTTCATCACTCTTACCTAGGGATTAACACACTGTGATGAGCCATCACCTTTTGCACTGCTTTCTTCCTTTAATGTTTAAAGGTAACAGCCTGAAAGCATGTAAGTGGAAATTCAGAAACCAATAGATACAAGATAATTTCAGTTAATTTTCTAGGACAGTTRCAATGTGACACCTAAATTTAAAAAAAGGAATGTTACCTAAATTATTAAGCACTCTGTAAAGTACTAGAAAAGAGTCACAATCTGAATMTCTTTTAAAAAATGTGCTGTTTCATAGGGATTATTGCTTTATAATAGCATGCATATTAATTACCTTTCTTTATGCAGCGCTCAATGCTATCAGTTAGAGTCATTCTCCTTTCCATGATAAATTCATACAATATTTTAGAAGAAAATGCACTTTTCAGACTTTCAAGGGCTGCTTGTCTTGTCTTTGCACTGTTAGAAGAGAGAAGGAAGACCTCCTGAAATCAGCACACCTCAGTTAAACCTCTGCCTTTGCTTTATGTAGTTTATATTTGTCTACACCCAATAATGGAGTAACCCACAGAAGTACCCTGAAGAAATGAAATGCTCTGACTTGGCCCCTTACTCAAAGAGAGCAAAATTCTGTTTGGAGATAGAGCTCAAAGTAGTACTGTAGGCTAGAAAGAAGGTCACTGTATTTAGATGTACTGGGAAAGTCTAACCCATCCAAAAAAATCAATGGAAGTAAAAAGGTCTTTTTACATCCAGAAGTGCTCCCCAGCATGAAAATCTCAGTAAGAATATAAAAAGATTTGATGTGTATTTTCCTTATTAAATGTGAGGAAGCAAGAGAACAATGCATGAATGTGTTTCTCCAAGGCAGACTATACCTCTTATCCAATGTAAGATCAATAAATCCCTTCAACTTGTATTCCAAGTCTTCTTGAGTAGCTTCTTCATCAACTTCAGGCCCTAATCCAAAAGAAATAATTTAGTCCCACTAATACATATTTCATTAGCAACACAGCAGTTCCAACACAGTGTTTTTAATACTAATAAGAAAGCAGTTTAAAGCATAGACAACAGCTACAGAATTGCTCAGTATTGCAGCAGGGTAATGGTGATACACCTACTACATCAGACTCCCCCCTAAAATACTTATATAAAAACTGGCCTATTGATATATCCATGCTGTTTCTAGATCTGCTTCTTACGCATGCCAAGAAGGAATGAGGGAACAAATCAAGCCTTACATAAATTTTCTGCATCTGATGACCCTCAGCGAATCCTGTCAACMAGACGTTTTCATCCAGTCCACTACATCTACCCCCAGAGTACAGCCAGGTGCTCACAGCTGACACAGCAAATCAAAGCAGCCTGTTCTATATGGTATCAATTAAGAATGGCACATTTCCAGAGATGGCTCCCTTCCTTATACCCCTGCAGCAGGCTTCCAGGTGCCCTCCTCCCAACAAAATGACATTAGAGCAGTCCAGGTTGCAAAGATGGTAAAGGAGACAAAGCACAAATCTAGTTCAAAACAGGCAAATACTGACTCTTCCCATCTTAAACTCTTCTGCAGTTCTTACGGCTTCAGCTACTGGTTACAAAAGATGTCCTATAAGGCACCTTAAAATTGTTATTGTCTCCATATCAGCACTGCACAATTCTAACAGCAAAGAGTATCCATTTCGAAAGGCTCATGAAACCTGGAGTATATTCTTACCAAACAAAAACAATAGCCATTGGATTAACACTGACAGAGTGTTAATGTAATATCATTATTTTACTGCTACTAACAGTCTACTCAGAACYATTAAATCAGCTCAGGTTTTATGTTTTTAAAAATATGAATTGACATAAATGAAAGAATTTACCATCCTCAGTGAAGCTAGCAGGATCACTGAAGCCACTGCAGTGGCTCATAGTTTCAATTGAAGCATCTTCATCACTAAAAGGCTGCACGTTTCTGGGCTGACCACCTTAAGGAAAGATGAATACAATAGTTTGGTCATTTTGCACATGGAAAAAGAAGATATGAGCACTACTTTCAGCAAAAGTAGAACTGAACCCTCCCAGCAGACTCACTTTCYCTGACCCAACCACAGAAAGAACATTTCCATCCTCTGCTGGTTCCTTTATCCCACCTATTCTGAAGATTTAGTTGGCTCTGTTCTGGAAGATCATTTGTGAACAGTCAGGAAGGGCCCACCTAGTATTCATCCAATTCCTATTCTAGATGTTGAGTGAATTCCTTCTGTAAATTTAGGAACTTTCTACAATCCACTTCAGGTTAATGCAGTTTTCTGTGACTGTGCTTTAAAAACAGATCCGTGTTAATTTAACTGTTAGAATGAACTACCTAAAAGAACTGCCATAATTTTGAGGAACTTCAAGACAGGGTAGACAAACATACATTACCCAGTTCAATGTGGGATTTATGGGATTAAGTGTAGTATGTGCAGCATCAGCAATGTCTAACTCTTTTATAACTGAATTACAAGTACAATCCAGAACATCAAATACTTCAACAAGAGATAAGAGTTTTCCCTCTCAGGACCATGATGGCCTTTGTGCAGCAGCTGCAGACGTTTTTAAGAAAGTAGTATTACTTTTACCAGTGTTCACCTCCCTTTTCATATCTGCCACTTCTCCCAAAAAATTATTTACAGAACTCTGAATTCTAGTCTTTCAGCTGTTTTTGGACACAATTGATTCTAAATTATTTAGAAGGTTACACACAGGGCTTACCAGATTCAAGCAGGGTTCCTGACTATCAAGACGCCAAAAAAATTACTTTTATCCGGGCAGAATCAACCTTCAGTTAGATCAGCGTCCAAGTGCTTTCCAGTGAAGTTAAGTCACACTCCGGAAGCTTTGTTGCTTTTAGCACTTGTATCGCTAAGCATAACCCAAAAAAACCCCACCAGCCAATCCATGAGCAAAGAAACTCAGAAGCTCAGAGCTCTGACATAACCACTTTCTTGCTTCTGCTGATTTTAAACAGGGAAGTTCAACGTAAGTGTCAAGAACGACAGCGAGCCCTTCACAAACTAAAATAAGAGCAGTAGCAGAAACAACCTATAAACTGCTCACTTCCTGAGCTCTTGATATTAGAAACCGATGCTGCTCAAAGCTATGCTAGCCTGTGAAGTGGAATTTCTCACCACCCGACAAAACCTCCGYTCTAACCAAGCATCAGTACATCTGACACGCACATGCTGTATCTGCATGAAGACTGTTTAATGTATAATATCCTATTTTAGGCTAATAATTAGGGTTTTTTAACGGCATAGCAGCGTTTCGGGGCACAGCACGGTGACACACGGTCACACCAGCTGGCGGTGGTGGAGCGGCACGGACTGTGGCCGGGCGGCCCGAGCCGCCGCTGCCCTGGGGCGCTGCCATCGCCGCCGGYGGCGCCAGCGCGGCCGCGCCCGCCGCCCCCCCGCTCCCGGCGCATGCGCGCAGCGGCGTGAGGTGGCGGTTTCAGGGACGGCTCCTGTCACCCGACCGGCCCCGGCCCGTCCAGCGAGAGCCCCGCGGCCGCGGCCGCCCGCGCTGCTGCTCACCCACGGCCCGCGGGGAAGCGGGGTACCACCAGACATGGCGGCCCTCCCGCGGCCACAGGAAACGCCGTCTGACCCCGCGCCCCCACCCGCCGGCCCTGCCGCACTCACCGGCTCCGCGCTGGTGGTTGCTCCCCCGCTTCTTAGGCTTGGGCATGGTCGCAGCGGCGCTCGGCTCGGCTCCCGCGGCCCCTCTCCGGGTCTCGGTCTCTCTGCTCCCCCCCGCCCGGGAATCAGCGACAATCAGCCGATGGAAGAGCAGGAGCGCTTTTTACTCCAACGCCTCTGCGAGGCAGACTTCTCGGGCCGGGGCAGCGGGGGTGATTGGCGAGAGCAGGCGGAGGGCGAACTGGCGGCAAAGGCAGAAATCCCCGTGGAGGCCCGTGAGCGGAGTCGATGCATCTTTCTCCTCTCAGACACCCGGGGCTAAAGGCGCGGAGGGGGCGCCGGAGCCGATTTTATAGCCCGGCGGGGTGCGGGGGCGGGGCCGCGCGCCGCTGCAGCCAATGGGCGGGCGCTGCGGCGGGGCCCGGTGACTCAGCCGCGCGAGTTCGTGACGTGTGGCGCTGCCGCCCAGTGGCGGGGCCGGGACGTCAGCGGCGGCTCGCGCGCCACGGCGCGGTGCAGGCTGGGAGCGGCGGCCGGGCTCCGGC